CAGCCCACATAATGACGTGATGAAATATTGTTAAAAATTATTGTTCAAAAAATTATTCAATATGAAGGCAATAGACAGAGTGTTACAGGCATAGGCCTTAAGAATGTAGCCTCATAGGCAGTGTAGCCCAGTTGTAAGTAAGCTATTAAGAGTCGACTGTAGACTCGCCTCTCTCTGTCTCTCAATAGCAAAGTTGGCCTAGACAACAAAGTAAAGCTAGTTTTCGGCTACGAACTCGACACGAACCCGACATATTAGCCAGAGGTCCCTTTACTACGGTTCGGAGCTGTGGACCTGTTTTATATCCGCGCGATTAGTTTTCTATACGAGATCGCTGCAAAAAGTGCAGCCTTACCTAATGTCCACCTACTGTTACTCATTTATATTAAGATTTAAACATCTAGTTGTTATTGGTATGGCGAGTAACCTTCAGTAATAGTAATAAATCACACAGCAATATGTAGTCATGTATCATGTAGTTGTAAAAAGCATGATAATATATTAAGTAATCCAAAGTATTCAGAATATATTACTCTCATTGAGTAACGTAATGGAATACGTTACAAAATACATTTTGGGGCATGTATTCTGTAATCATGTAATCTGTAGTGGAATACATACACCTTCCCAACACTGCTTATATGTTTATAAATTTGTGAATCTACATATTTTGATGTATTTTTGACAGAACGCTGAGACACTGAGTGAGAGTGTATCTTGGTGTAACTTCAATTTGTACAATCTGTATAATGCATAATGGTAAAGTTCTCATGATCCAACAATCTGAATCACAAAGATCTTAAAATAAAGACTTTGTTATTTTCCTCCTGGGGTAGCCAAAGAGCCTGGAGCATTATCTGAGTCAGGAGGAACCTCGACTGCTAAACCATCTGAAGAACAGCGGAGCCCTGCATCAGCTACCCTACAACCTCTGGTTCAGATGCTGCTTTGCTGGCTGCTTGCCTGAATCCAGTCTGCAAAGGTCAGTTAACTGTTCACTCCAGAAGCTGCTCATTTCACCATCTTTGGATTGAGCCAACAAAACAAGGGTAGCTGCATTCTCATAAGCTAAAGGGCATTCTTGCATTTCTTTAGCATGGAGTCATGGCAGCATGGCAGAAAACTTTTATATAGGGTTCCACATTGTGTCTTACTCAGAAGGCTGCCGGCCATCTTTTCTTCATCAACCAAAGTCACAATTTACAAAGAATGGCATGGCTCAACAAGCCGTGTAGCAATAGCTGACTCTACCCAAAAGTCCATCTACAGGAACTGTTGAGTTTGTCGATTTCAGTGTTAATGAATAAGCAAACATTGTCAGCATAAAGGTGCATGAAAGCTGCACTTTGTCCGGATTGTCTTAACTGTTTGTCAAAGCGCTCTGTTACTGTGTCATAGAGGTCACCTGAAGGCCAATTCATGGTTTCCACATTCTCAAGGGTTTGTGGAGTGTAGCCGAAAATTTACTTCCAGCATAAAATGGATTTTTGTGTTGAGGACAGATTACACAGATTTTGGAGGTACTTTCTTATTTATATACAATTTATTTACAGACCCAGAGAATAATGAAACACATTGAACAAATTCCATAGCTCTTGGCTCACCTTGGGAATAATCTCCACTATCCTACAGCCTTAATTAGTAAATGTGAAGTGACAGCCAGTCTTTTTAAAGCATGTGAAGTATTAAAAAAAACTTCTAGCAATTGTATTAAATTTATGTTTATCAAACTTTAACTTTAAGTGTGCTCTAGGACGTGCTGGGTAGTATGTTGGTTCTTTTATTGGTCTGATTGTGGTCTTCCCTTGTCTTTAGGGTGTGGGACAAGGTGATCAGTGGCTCGTGTAAGATCCTGGTATTTGTGGCCCTGGAGATCCTGCTCAGCTACAAAATTATTTTGATGGGCATCAACCGGCCAGAGGGCATGGTCAAATTCTTGTGCAATGTAAGTATAAGAGACACCTGTGTCTCACAGTATGGGTCCAACAATACCTGGATGCTGATAAACAATAAACACTCCAGCCTTGGTTTTTGAGTTAGTACAGTAAATCAGATGCAGATACAGCAGTTACAGTTGGCAGGATTTGTAGGCTTTTTTCTGATGATATAATTTTGGATGAAATAACATTAAGATAAAAAGAATGTACAGGCGATTAGTTGTTCCTAGTTAATATTGTGCTAGCCTAATTTGGCCTCAATTAACATGCCCAAAATCTGCAAATTCATTTTTGGATAATTAACCAACATGTTTTAAATACACAAGTGAGTTTGATTGATGTGCACTAATAAATTTTATTTAATTTTTTAAAATATCTTACTTTATAAAAATGCAGTTCTGCAAGTGTGTGTTGCTAACTTCCAGCTCTGTGATCCATTATTTCTGTAAAACAAAACAAACAAACAAGCAAACTGTCCACTGGAGTCAATGGAGATGATCGGACTCTTACCAGTCGGGTGCTCTGATTCGACCCATTCAAGCAGACGTTGCAGGTTCTGGTTGTGACTGAATGACACTTAGAATGTATAGAATGAGTGAACACATTTTTTTAATAAATCTTTTTCCTTGTGCTGTAGTTCAGAAAGGTGAGAGACATCAACTGGTGCACTGCCAAAACACCTGCTGCAGTGTCAGAATGTAGATGTAAGACTAAACTGATAGCACTTGTTTGGGTCACTGGGTGTATTCAACTGAACGAGTCTCATGGTGAACTGGACGTCCTTGACCCTAACAGGACAGATAGATGTACAGTTGGACCCCTACGTTGTAGCTTTTCAAATCCAGACACATATTCTCTCCTAGCATGTGCTTTGTATGATATTTCCCTTCAATCTCTCTTCCAGATACCGCAGGAGAACACAGATGCCATTGTCACTAAAGCCATTGATTTGTGGCATAAGTACTCCGGCACCCTGATCCATGCTATATAGCAACACGGAGCCAGACAAGGAAAATATCTGGAACCAGAAGTAATCTTCTTTCCTGAAATCCACCTGGACTCGCAATGCTTCACTAAGACACTGCGGCACTCGCCGTCCACGGGGCTTTGTCTCTGCGTAACTGAACTGAACTGAAAACTCATCATGGCTGCTTTTGATAAACCATGGGGACCCTTTTCATACTGTTGATTTTCCAGGTTTCCCCTGCGACTCTGGCAAACCATTCTGGTGAAAGAGACTTGAGTTGGTGGTGGGTTGGGGGAAAAAAAACAGACGAGGCTGTAACTTATTATTTTTTTAATAAGTTTCTTTCTTTAAGAAACTGCATACATCATAGAAGACTCACAATAAATTAATACCCACATGCAGGTCTTTCTGCTTTACAAAAGAACATTTGAAAATCCTTTTAATTTATGTACATCCTCTTAGAATTCTGAGAAGAGTTTTCTCAAAACATTTTTTAAACGCGTACAAGTGACAGTAATATTACTGACTCTTGCATACGCACACACTCAGATACACAATCATAACCCACGCAGCTTGTTCTCACCAATAACATGGTAAAAACCTCCAATTCATGGACCCAATCTTAAGTGTAAACCATTAAAAAGGGAGAGAAAAAAAGGCAAATAGTAAGGTGGCAGGATTGACACGTTTCGTACCAAAAAGGCTCATGTCAGACAATAAAAGGTGAAATGCAAACACAGTCCTTCTTGTAATTCAGCAGAGAGCTCAGTAACATTTTACTGTGTCTACAGATAATATTCTGTATCAAATAAACAAGGTTATTTGGCAACTTTGAAATCCCTGTAAACACGCCTGTAGGCACAGTGACACAGTGGGTTACTGAACTCTTGATACTCGTCACTCCAGAATTCTCCATTCAAGGTGACGGCTTTCACAACAGGTCAAGTTGCTTTGGTTTAAAATGGGAATCTGAAGTTTGAAAAGTGTTTGAACACTCGAATGCAGCCCACAACTAGATTGATGTAAAAGAGAGAATCTGACATTATTGCTCAGTGGATTGATGTGAAAGTGTTTGGAGACAGGAATTTCCTTTTGTTGTAGAGAGCACTCTTGGACTTTGATTAGAATTTTAGGGCAATTTGGCTTAAGCTTCAGCTGCCTGCAATAGTACACACTTGTGGAATGTTTTCATGCCTCTGGCAAAGAGAAATGATTACTGAGATGTCATACGTGGAGTAAAATCAAGCTAACACAAGCATACTCAAAGGAAAAATTCTGCCCGATGAAAATATGGTACAGGCATGAAAACAGTGAGAGTGAAATAAAGACCCTGTGTTTCATCTTTTACCGTCCCCATCCTGTAAAATTGGCACAGATTCTGTGTTGGACCTCCAGGAGCCTTGTTTAAAAAAAGAAAAGAAAAAAGAAGTGCTGCAAAGTAAAGATATCACCATCTCTTCATCATAAAAAAAATACAATTAAAAGCTTTTGAATATCAAGAAGTCACCAAAATCTCCACAGAGGGGAGACAGTCGTTGATCCGTCCATCTCAGTGTTTTTCTCCCGTTTCCTGTAATGGCTCAAACTTGTGTGATGAAGCCAGTTCGAAGTTGATGTTGGAAATCTGTAGCAGTCTGAACACTTGAGACTTTAAGGGATTTTAAAAACATGGCTGAGGTCTCTGAGCCGACTTACGGCCTGTGAAACCTGTAGGAAGAAACCAGGAAGAGAAAATGAGCATGTTTGAAGAAATGTTCTTTATTCTGACACAATGAAATTATCTAAAAGGAGACAAAGCAGTCAGAACATCCTCATCTGACCTCCAGCATCAACGAGGCCTTTTCTTCCAGAGCACTGCTGCTCACTGGATATTTTCGCTTTCTCAGACCATTCTGTGTAAACTACAGAGATGATTGTGCAGGAAAATCCCTGAAAATCTGAACTACTCGTAGCAGCCTGTCTGGCACCAACCATTTAAAGTTATTTAATAAACTACTTCATTCATGAGCTTGGAAGTTCAATCTTCAACGTCCTTTGTCCAACGTATCCACTATCCCTCCTATAAAGATGTCAAAACCATCTCAGCTGCAGAGTAATTTGTCGATATCCTGCTAGGTAGACTAAAATTCAAAGCTAGGTTCTACCCCTAGGTGCAGATAACTAAAAAAGAATTTATATAAATGGCCGAAGGAAGACTCAAGGGATTTGGCTGATCGTACCCCGGGTTCAGATTGTAAGCGACGAGACTCATTCAGGATGTTTGATGGCTACGACAGCTGCAGCGAGGAGTCCACCAGCAGCGCTGGGTCAGATGACAGTGAGGATGAGGTGGCACCCTCCATCCCTGCTAGTCCGCCTTTTTTCAAGAACGTTGGACAAGTCTACACCTACCCTGATGGAAAGGCTGGAATGGCTTTTTACTCCAAAACCAAGAGTTTGTACAGTGTCCCCTGTTCTAGGGAGTTATTCTTCAAATTTGTAAGAAGCTAGCATCTTGGCAAGACTCCAGGCCAAACCAGCAACAAAAAAGGCCAACATGGTGAAGGCCCCTGTCAACTTTTTCAAGCATGGCCCCATGGGAAGCCTTGCCTCCAATTTTGTCTCCAAGAAACTCAGCTTGAGCTTTCCCTCTGATATGCTCGCTTCTAATCCTGTCCAGTCTGGCCACTCCCAAAGAAAACCTCAACATATTTAACTCTGACACCTCCAACTCAGCCTCCTGTCTTTTTGTCAGCACCACCATCTCCAAACCACACATCATAGCAGATCTCACAGTGTGTAAGAGCACAGCTCCCCCTCTTTTCTGCCATTGCTCTCGAAAACTGAGAGTAGGGGAGACAAAAGAAGAAGCCAAAAAACCCAAATGACGAATTAGAATTTTTCACTGAGCAAATATTTGACAGGATACCCTGAAAGGAAAACCTTCACTTCCAGTCAGCCTATATTTTTAATGGCAACACCAGATTTTAGCACCTGTGACTTCAGCATGATTCTACCAGTATGTTAACACCTCTGCTGGTTTACTTGCAAAGTAGGAGATATTGCATTTGCGTCAAAAAAACAAAAACAAAACAACAACTAGGAAAGTAATTTGAAGATTTCACACTTGGCTGCTCATAATTATGGGCTTAACAATCTGGAGGCAGCGCAGCATGGTACAGCTACAGCTGACAACGTGAGGCTTTAGCTGATAAAGGCTGAGGCAGCTATAAAAGTGTAATCGCACTTCTTAAAACTACTGCTGTCCATAGCAGAACTCCACCATGACCTTTACTTTGGCACCTTCCCCAACACACCTCATTTAACAAAAAAGCAAAACAAAGAGTGCTTTGCAGTTTCGTAAGGCAGCTCATTAGCTGTTCTGTGCAACTTTTCCATACCTGGTCAAATGACGGCTCGACTCATGCACCTCCATCTCTGTGCTTTTAAACTCATTTAGTTCCTTTCTAATGGCAGCCTGAACAAAGAAACACACACTTAGATAAAGCACACTAGTACAGATTACTTGAATCCAGTCTTTGTGAGAAATGAACCTTATCTGTAGCTGTTAGCCGAGTCCACGGCTTGTCTGCTCTCCTGTCGTAGTCCTGAGCCTCGGCGACCTCCACGTAGTCACTGAAGCGGATGAGGATCTTCGCCTCTCTCAGCTCCTCGACTGTGGGTCTCTGGCTGAGCTGAAAGGTGGATGAACAGATGGGTGCTGTCCAATCAGCATTAAGTAACTTGTGCTCCTCAGTACAGTTAACTTTGTCTTTTGTACAGTTTTGTACAATTTTATAAAAAACTTCCCCTTTTTTTAATACCAGACCTTACATCCTTACATTCTTACGAACCAGGAGGGTAAGTGGCAGCCAGGTGCTGCAAATCAGGTGCACCCGATTAATTAATTATCAGTAAGTGTAAGGATGTCTACAAACACAGAGGTTTTTGTAGTTTGCTGGTCTGGACTTTCAGGTGTGTACAGACAAGGACAAAATGATTAGCCCCAACTTACAGATTTCAATTTTTTGATGTGCTTTACCTTTATAATTCTTAAAACACATAAAATCATTAAAACTGCGGGTTGCTGTCCAATTTACACACAGTATAAAAACTTCAGCCAGAGTTTGAGCTGTAACTTGGGAAAGCATCATGCATCAAACGAAATCAGTTTACATGAGAAAAAAATGTCTATGGTTACTAAGGAGCAGATAGACATACAATGTTATCACAGTGTCAAGAACTGGAGTGAGAAATTTATTGAAATTCAAAGCCACAGAGCACATAGCAAGCCTGGCAGAGGTAGGAAGTGAACGACTTTAAAGACTCTGGAAAGAAAACTAGTGAGAGATCTGCCTGATCCTCAGAACAACTGCCAACAAGTGACCAACTTAGCCAAGTGAGGAACTGTTGATACTTCAGTGCGTCTGGAACTGGGAGTCTAGTCAAGGAATCATGAGGAAAGAAGGATATATGAAGATTTTCAAAGAAAACCTCAAACAGCAGCAAAACTGGATCTGCACCAGTGCTTTGTTTTCCAACACAACAACCCAAAATACATGTCACTCCTGTGAAGATCTACCTCCAGAAGACTGAAATGAAAATTACTGACTGGCCTGCACAAAGCCCTGACTTGAATCTCATTGAAAATCTGTGTGGTGAACTGAAGACCAACAAATCTGGAGGAGCTTGAGAGATTCACCAAAGAAGAATGACCTGGGATTGCTCAGAAGATGTGTGAGACTTGTTGAAAACTACAACTCAGTTCAATTTTATTTATATTCACCAAATCACAACAAATGTTGCCTCAAGGTGCTTTACATTGTCGAGGAAAGACCCTACAATAATACAAAGAAAACAGAAAACCTCAACAATCATGCGGCCCCCTGTAAGCAAGTGCCTTGGCTACAGTGGGAAGGAAAAACTCCCTTTTAAGAGGAAGAAGTCTCCAGCAGAAACAGGCTAAGGGAGGGAGTGGCCATCTGCCACAGCAGGTTGTGGTCAGGAGAGGAAGACATGACAAAGATGATTAAATGATTAAACACAGAGTGGTGTACAACCACGTAGTGAGTGAATGACTGTAGGCTGTTTTTAAAAGGATACACAGCTGATTGTTAGCATCAGCTAATAACTTTCAAATTCAAATTCACCCCCAGCTCAGACGGTGAAATACTTGGATACATTGTAAAAAACCCAGGAACTACATCTCAGACTCTACAGGCCTCAATTAGCATGATAATGCTAAAATGTATGTCAGAAGAAAAAGCCTGAACAAGTATGGCTTGTTTGGAAGGATTGCTGGGAGAAAACCTCTCCTCTCTTTAAAAGAACTTGTGGAACAATGGAAGTAGAGATGTTTGGAGAAAAGCAAACACATCATATCAGCACACACCAACAGACCAGAACTTCAGTCCATGGCGGTCACACTAAAACAAACACACAGATTTATGTGCTCGATAATCAGAATGACTGTTGCTGTATGGTGGATCATCAGATATACTCTAATTTGACGTTTACTGTGTCAGGTGTTCTTTATTATTCAGTAACATGTGACTGCGATGGAGACGATCTAAGACACACACAAAAACTACTTCTCAAAGGGGTGCAGTCTGAAGAGCGGTAGGTTAGTCTCCAAGGCAACCATGTTCATATTTCTAGTTGGGGTTATGAACCATCTCAGCACTGATTGATCAAAGACACGCTGTCCACATCTTCTTTGCCTTTACCTTTCTCGACAGATGCCTCTTGATCTCCCTCTTCTCCTCCTGCTCCTCCAGATCATTTCGAGCTGCAGGAAACCGCACAGAAAGCACACACACTCACACACAAATCATTTTTATCTGTAGTTTTTTTTTCTCTTTTTCCTTCATGTTATGCAAAGTGACTTACGTTTCAGAATGTTCCTCTGTTCTAGCTCCTCTGCTGTCGGCCTTTGACTCAACCGTCTGAATAAAGGGAAGGAAAGCATCTATTTTAGGAAAGCTATTTTTATATGATTTTAATGTTTATTCGTGCAAGCTTTCAGATCATGCTTATTGCTCTCGACATATGCAAAAAGAGATTTTACTCTTGTGGACAGAAGAGCTGGCTGTGCACGGGAAGTCTTTTTTTTCTTATGAAGCAGTATTTTGTGAATTTATTGAGTAGGTACTGACTCAGAGGCACTGGAATAGCAGGATGACAGATAGTGACTGAGAACAGGAGGATAAGAAGCAGAAAAGTTGCCAAAAACCCTCCAAAACAACAAAAAAAAGAAAAAAGAAAAAAAAAGAGGTGGACAGTGCAGAGAGGCTCAAAACATCAGCCAGAGGAAGATAAAGATAAAGATGATTCCTCCAGAGCCGGCTAACAAAACAATACCAACTAATGTTAAGATGTGGAGTTCATTAAGTAATACAAGCAGTTGCACACTACAAGTTGTCCTAATATTATAAAAACCTATTAAGTGGGACCAAAGAGCACAATGAATATGTAGGGTAATGCCCCCGGCCATATATTACAGCGAGTGGTTATAGAAGATGGATATTTACTGCAGTAATGATGTAGCTAAGTACTGTGTGTGTGCTTTAGATTTTAGATAAATTTTAGTACATTTCATACATTTCTGTATATAAAATGTGGACTTGCCACTATGATATCAAACAATATTAGAGTAGAATTTTGCAACAGCATGGATTGTGATAGAAATATAACCAAGATGAACTATTTTTTGCGACTGAAATTAGCTACATGGGCTGTAAACATGGTTAGTTTTGCTAGCGAGGCAACCTCTGGTCGTGAAGGAAAAATGCTTGTTCCCAACTGGTTGGTGAAGGTTGATGTCAGTCACTGAGAAAATGACTTCTAACACAGACATACAGACCAATCAGTGAGCCCCTGGCCACCACCTGTCGTTAGAGGAAAATGTGTAGTCTCCAGCCGGCTGGCAAAAGCCTCTTTATGATTACTTTGGTCACCAGCATATTGCTGCAGTCATAGTTTGAATGGAAGTGACGGACTTGTCTATAAAGACTGACAAGCTGCTCTTTGAGCTGCAGTGGAGCTGTGAAAACACAAACTGGAAATGAAAACTGGTAAAATAGGATTGTTTTCAGCGACAAGCTAAAGCGTTCTAAAAAATTTACAGGGCTCCTCTTGGCAAAGCAAAGTGTTTGGCACAACCTGATTCTGCTAGCTAAAGCTGTTGTACAGGACAGGGTAAAAAACAAGAAGAACTACAGGCAACCCTGGATATTTCCTAGCTACCAAAGTAATCACTCAGTTTTCTCACAGGTTTTTGCAACCGGAAGAAACAGGAAGCACTACTAACGACTCAGGGAATACTCGCATTTCCCAAAAAACGGTGGTTGTGTCACGTGTGATGTGATATGATGGACAACTCTTGAGCAGTGGGCATTTTTATTAGAAACCTCATTAAAAGTTTGGAACTTTAAAATAGGACTAGATGTGACCTCAAGTGGCCATTCATGGAACTGTAGCCTTTAGCATTTCTGCACTGGCTTAAGTTGCCACTTGGCACAGTAAGAATGATTCAAATGTTGTGTGATGATTTTGACAACATTTTGTGTCTGTACACATCTAATGTAGCCTGCACTCACCTTTACAGTCACGACACTATTCTCTTTTTTCCGTTTTATTTTGTTTTACACCCCCTGGGATGACGCAAAGCAGAGATGGAAAGATTAATTTCCATCTCTGCTTTGCGTCATCCCTTCTTCTATCATCTGCTCCTTGCAGCAGCCAGGTCGCCTCTATCACAGCTCGCATGGGTTGAAACACTTTGCAGGTGACTCGATGTGCATGTGATGAGCGATGTGGGCGTGTGTACCGCTCCTCCGAGTGGCTCGGTGCCACATCAGCATGTGTGCTCTTAAGTCGGAAGCTCACCTCGTCAGTTTGGTGGCCGTCTGTTGCCGGGATTCGAGCCGCTCCTGGTCCGAATGCAGTGGCAGGATGTTCTTCTCCTCCAGCTCTCTTTTGGATGGACGGTTGCTCAGCTTGATGGCCAGAGAGTCTTTTCGTAAGACCTTCATGGCCAGTGTGCCTTTATTGAACATATTGGCAGAGGAAATCGTATCAAAGTTAAGCAGATTGAGGCTGTCGCAGCCTCCCAGTAAGAGGCACACAGTATAGATCTTCTTCTGCAGTAAATATTTTTGTAATTCTCATTAATGTACACGTCTCTGTCCTCTTTATTGTTTTTCAGGGTTTCAATGTAACCTTGAAGACCATGGTGGGTGTAAGCCAAATTTTAATAAAGACAAAAAGATGCTTACTTGTAAACAGTGTATCATCCTCATCCTCTTCTTCGTCTTCCTCCTCCTCCTCATCTTCCTCCTCGTCTTCCTCTTCCTCCTCTTCCTCATCCTTGTACATGCCCGGCAGGTCCTCGTAGTCTGCCTCGTTAGGGAGGTTCTCTTTGTCATCGTCGCACTCGATCATCACCGTGGGAACGGTGTGCATCATGGAGCTGCAGTTTCAGAATGAAATGGTAAACGTGTCACACAAACATATTCACACATACACGTTCACTGCTGTGTGAAGTAAGGGTTATGGTTATGTCTGAAGGCCTCTACCATTATGGCATAGACAGCCTCAATGACTACAGACCTGTAGCCCTCTGTAGTCCTGAAGTACTTAGAGCAGATAGTGTCTCAGCACATCAGAGACTGCTACCCCCTGCTTTGACCCCCACCAGTTTGCTTACAGAGCAAATCCACATAGGATGTCATCACCATCACCCTTCACAGAGCGCTGAGCCATCTGGAGAACAGGAAGAGCTACGCAAAGATGCACTACAGCTCAGCATTCAACACCATAATGACAGACATCTTCATCCCCAAACTGGACCACCTTCAGATTCCCTATTGGAACCTGCACGATGGTTGGGCTCATCTCTGATATAGATGAGACGGCGTACAGGGTGGAGGTAGAAAACCTGTCCACTGGTGCTCAGAAAAAAACCTGAAGCTGAACATCCTTAAAACAAAACAACTCCTAATGGGCTTCAGGAAGCACAGACCGGTCCACTCCCCTCTTATTATAAAAGGAGAATGGGTGGAATCTGAGAAAGAATAACCTGAGGCTGATGCTGGTCTTCCTCCACTCCTGAGTGGAGCGCGCGCTCTGGATTTTTGGAACGCAGGAGCCACTACTGAGAACAGAAAGGCTGCGCAGAGGTTAATTAACACTGCCCAAAAAAAATTATTGGCTGCCCTGTCCCTCCCCCATCATCCGATCCTTCCCTCCTGCCCCTGGAAGATTGGGTGATGGTCTCTTGGGATGGGATCACAGGTGACCCCGTGGACCCTGCTCACCACCTGTTTGACCAGTTGCCCTCTGGTCAGTGCCTCAGGTCAATGAGGTCACACACCTCATTGACCTGAGGCACCTGTTAAAAAACATTCTCCCCCGACACCCCACCCCTGCCCACCCACCTCACCGATCTGAGCCATGGTCTGAGTAACCCTCATCACTCAGTCCACTCACACACCGACTCTAATTCAGACTGTGAATAGACAGACTAAATAGTGATACTTAAACAGACAGTGCAAAGACAAGTCTTTTCTTTGCACTACCTCCAAGCACTTTGCTCTCCAATGTGTGCCTCTCTATTGTTTTGTATGTATTCCTCTAGACCAGGGGTAGGCAACCTTTTTGATGACGAGTGCCATCTAAAGTTTCCTCAGAAGTCAATGTGCCATATTAACAGTTGCTGCGCTGAGCGGAGAGCTCAAATTTCAACATCGCTTGAAAAAACTGACAGCTAGCAACGTCCCTCTCACCAGTAGGCTAAGTGATTTTTAGCCAATTACAAGTTGAATCTGGTAGTCGGGGTTGTTAGCTAAGATGCCGTCATTAAGAAGTGGTACAACTAATGTGTCTATGCGAGCTAATTTGCGATGTGCACCACTGGCCCGGCCATTTATTTTTTAATGCACCCTCTCAGATTAATTCACTGCGTGTCGTGCCCAGGGCTGGACTGGGACATTTTGACTAGAGACCGGCCCACCAGGTATTATAAGAAAAGCCATAAAGCCTTTGAATGAAAACAAACGCTGTTGTGACAGTGATGTACACTGTCTTGTTGGTATATGTATGATTTCTATACGTTGTACATCAGATAAAAACTTTGGTTGTAAGATTCAGATAATTATTTTTCAAAAGCTTGACATTTTAAATGAGAATAAGAAAGAAAAGTATTTCTTTGTGCCCCCCTTACCCTGTTAATGTCCTCCAGGTTTACAGCTGTGGCTCCAGCAAACATCAGCTGATACTAGAAATTAATATCAAATAAATTCTAACAACAGCTGATCAAGCTTAAACGCGCTGCTATTGTTTAGCGCGGAATCTGCTGGTTTCCTCTTTCTGGCGCAAAGTCAGCGATAAACAAAGGAGAGACGGGACTTGCGTCAGAAATACCGATCAGCTGATCATTGATCAGTTTCATGATTGAATGAGAGAAAAAGAGGCAGCTGACAGCGTAAAGGCGCAGGATAACTCCAGCTTTGTGTCTTTTTTCATCCTAGCTGAGGATGTGTTCCTTTTCAGCTCAATACGAATCGCGTGATATTTTCTCTGAATACGGGACGACTCCGTTTTTTACAGGACGGTTGGAAACTCTACTAATTAACCTTATGAGTAAAATAAAGTTCACTATCAGTAAAATCATAGCACCCACCCAGCTGTTTAGAAACTCCGTCATGTAAAGAGCTACACCTACTTTGAAGAAAAACATTTTTCTATGGAAAGACCAGAACTCAATCTAATCTTTTCTGAATGTGAATCCTTAAAATGCCCATTCAGGTGGGAGCAGATCATACACACTATTCTGGAGTCAGACACTCCATCCAAATCCAGAAAGACCTTTGAAAGCCAAACAGATGTTTCAATTTGTTTTTGTAAAAGGGATAGCTCTGCCTTACTAAAAAAAAAACAAAAAAAACCACACCTCCTATGGTTGTGTATGTGCTGCGCAGCCATATTCTTCCTAGACAACTGTCAAAAAAATAGGAATATTTCCCTATAAATTACACATTTGTGAATCTTAAAATGGCGTTGTGCTTTCCGTGGATGACTTTTGTGAGTTGGTGTGAAGGATTCCAACTCAGATCGTGATTCTATAGCAAAAGATCATCATAGTCACTGTAGGAGCTCTTAAAACATTCACCTTACACGTCTCAGAGTATCACAACCTAGCCTGGATAAATGGGAGGTCATCTGGCTTCTGGGTCAGTTGGATCTGCTTGGATCCCTGTGATGTAAATTTCTTCATCAGACAGTGAGCGAGGGTCCGTGTGGACATCAGCTTGCCTGTCTGTTTTTACATTACAACACACTACCTGTGTGCCTGGGCAGCGGACTTTAAAGAAGTATATAAAGAATGACAGCTGTCCATGTTCAGAACAGAGTAGCATCCAAGCTTTCAACTTGGTGCCAAGTCAACATACAGAGCCATCTGCTTTGGGAATAAGGGGGCCGACACTCTTCCCTACTTTTTGTGGCACGGGGGTTGGTGCTTAGCAAAGTTGCCCAGGGCTGGATTTAGTACAGAGGGGACTGGTGGATTAATCAATTGGCCTGTCTCAGTTTTGTAAAACTACTATATAATCAAACAATTTTTAAAAAAATCATTTTTGTAATTTTTTGTTTAGTCAAAAATATGATTGTCCCAGCTTCTTTATGTTACAGGCTCGTTCTAAACGATCAATTTAATGAGCCTTTTGACTTTTCTCTGATATTTTCTTGACTTTCTGGCCTCTGTGGTGTGATCCTCACCTCTCAAACCTCTGCATGGTGAGGGCCAGGGTTTTGTTCAGCTCCTCTATGATTCGGCTGGGCGGGTGGAGAGGAACAGGCAGGGTCCCGTACTGCAGTGAGTGTGCACCCATTGGAGCATGGCTGGGAGGGGCGGGGCACTTCTGGAAGGCGATAGAAGAGGGCTCCATGCTCCCTGCAGGTACGGAGATCATGAGCTTCTTCGGAGGTAGAGGAGGAGACAACTTAGCCGACATGCATGGCAACTTCACGGGGGCGCCGTCTGCACGAGGAGGTGGACGTGGGAGGATTAGGCACACGCGCACTAATGCGGTTGTGAGCACGCATGGAGACACACTCACCTGTAATGTGATTGGGTAGCCTGTTGAAAGGCTTGGGTGGCAGAGCGGGAGGTTGTTTGTGTAGCGTTGGAGGTCTGCAGAGGGTTGATTCAGCACCATCAGCCTGATATACGATAGACTTCTTTGTGGGCGGAGCCTGACTGGATTTCTGGGTGTGGTCCTGTTGAGCATCACTAGGCATTTGAAACTCCAGGGAGCCTGGGGGAAACAACAAAGGAGTCAGAGACCACTGTGAATCAAATACCTAAAGAGGTTTCAGTGGTTCTGAGGCTGTGCTGCCTACCTACAGCTGCTCCTGCTGCTCCCTCCATCAGCTCACTACCTTCAGACTCCGACAGGCTGGAGCCAAGCACCGAGGAACGACCATTCTCTATCTTCACCTCCTCCCGGATGGTCAGAGATGCACCATCTGCACAGAAAGATGCACATTGGTGTTCAAAAGTAGGTAAAAAATGAAAAAACAGAGCAAAGGATCTCCTTATGTAGCATTTTTTTCAAATTTTGCTTAGAGAAAATATGAATCACGTAACAGTGTAGTTTTCAAAGATAGATAGGGAGAAACACCCAGGTAGAGCAGCTGGATGTGAGGGAATGGTGGTAAGGATCAGACAGGCACACATATTCCTAAGCTCAGTCTTGTCATGATAAAGCTGACTGGTGTGCTGTAAGTAAACTTGTCACTGGATTTACTGACACTTAAAAAATGAGTTACAACTGTGCACAAGCTTGCGTGAGTCTTTGGTGCGCTGCAGCACTTAAACAGCACCACCCCACTGATGACAGAACAATGTGAGAGACTCAAACCAATCAAAGTGCAAGAGAAAAGGCATGAATCACAACTGAGAAGCTGCAACCGGAAAAATCTTACTTTACATTTGAATTTGAACCTAAAATCAAAATCAGGCCGCAAACAAAGAGAACAACTAATACTACAACACTGGCCACTTTCTTTCTCACCTTCGCTGTGTGGAGCCTCACCTTTCTCATAGACCTCCTTTAGGAGTCCCTTCTTGATGAGCTCCTCTCTGCTCTGGCGAGTGGACATCTTCCTCTCCAACACTGAGGGAGCACAGAGGAGGAGACGTCAGAAACGACTAGAACAGGAAGAAAGCTGCTGCGCTGGATGCTAACAGAGTTATCAGGATCGAGGAACGAGTCAGCTGCAGCAGCTGTTTCTTTGGACTTGCTGCTGCTTCCAGCACTGCTGCTGTGTGCCAAGGAAATATCATGTGACTGACCCTCTGAGCTGTGCGCACAAACACAACACTACCAGTTCACTGATCCTCTGACAGAGATGCCTACTCGCCTCCTCACTCCTAAACATTTCCCGTAAATAACACTTTTTCATTTTCTAGCATATCCAGCATGAGCTGTGAAAACGTATCTTTTCCAATGCCATTTTGATTGGTAGGGTTTGAGACAATATCAGTAAAGTGTTAGGGTGGGGGAGTTAATAAAAGCAATGTTACAATACTACAAGTCTTTTTTTTTTAAACCCTGACATACACTATATCTAATGAAGTCATTTAATGGCGTTTGTAATGCGTTTTTCTGTGTTGCTTTCTAACAGCTCAGTTTGGTAAACTGATATCTACACATCACCCACACACATAGTAATGCAGGATTATTGTCTAACTGATGCACTTTGTCTTATATAGCCTTTATGGAGCAAAAGTCTTGAACTACCCCGTGGAAAAGAGAAGCAACAATTTATTAAAACGCGCACAAACACACATGAAAATACAGTATTTAAGGCAAAAACTGAGTTTGTAAAATTGTAACGACCTTGAATGTCAGTATTTGGTAAAACCACCTTTATTCTTCAACAAAAGCTGAACTCTCTTAGGGCAGCTTTCTAGTGACTTCTCTTCTAGGAGTAACCCGTGAAGCTATTTTCTGAGTGGTTTCTGTCATATTTCAGGCTGTATATCACAAAATCACTGGGTTTTCATTAGATGTTAGCGAGCGTGGTCTCTGCCTATTCAGCTACCCATGAAAAACCCCCCAAAACAATTCTAATGGTCGTCAAACCACATCTTTATTTATGTATACACTGAGGTGTCAACACTCATTGTTAAGGGTATAGAGGCGCTGGTCTAATGCTGTCTTTATGGGAAAAAGCCTCGAGAAGTCTTCAAGAATAGTTCTTCAGGCTTTTTAAAGGACATTCAAAGCTCTTCTTTGGATGTTGCCCCCCCTTCTGTTCCGTTTCTGTTCCCACGTTGTTTGAGTCCAGGCTGTGGGGAGGCCAATCCATGACTGACAGTTCCATACAGGCATGCTTTTACTGGATTGGCAGTGTGTTCAGCTGTCATGCTGAAAATGAAGCAAAACAAATGCTCTCCATTCCAACGTTTCTTTGAGAATCACCTTGTTGATGCAATAATACTATTTTATGTCTGTCAAACGTTGTGTGATCTTTGATATGTTTCATAGATTCAGCTAAAGAAAGTGGAGAAAAAGTGCCCATGGATACAATGTAAAACTGGTTCCGTATATGTTGCCCCAGTGTCAATGTATTGTAGTCATAACTGTCTGTGTTTCCTACAGTAAACCCTATTCAACCCCACAGCTATATTTTTACTTGAAGCACGAAAATCTGGATAATCCAATGCACCTTGACTGCATGACAGCAGGGTGCAGCAAAAGCACACGGTACACGCAACGTGTAGCACCTGTGCGCACGTACACATGCTATAAAACGTATACTGTTCATTATCTGGGTGCAGAGAAGGGAGGAAGGTTTTCAGCAGGGTAAAAAAAAAAAGTGTAACTGCTGTGACAGCTGGGGGAACAGCTTGGCTGCAGGAAGCCTCTCTTCACCCCTCTGCTGCGTGTTTGCGTCGCTCAGTGAGAACAGGATGTAAAATGATTCAGCCAGCTGAGAAACAACAACAACAGCGGCTATTTCGGCATTCAAATCCAACACTTTCCTTCGCTTCACAGCTTAGTACTCGCTGAATATTGTAGCCCCGAGCCAGACATATGAAACTACTTTCAAATTTGCTCACTGCTTTGAATGAAGTGTTAATTCACTGTTAAAGAGACAACACGTCGGCTGGCGAACTCCATTTGAAGCTCACTTGTTGCTACGGCCAACATTAATGATCAATTCTTCCACAGCTGCTGTGTTGGCATCTCTGAACAGCAGTGGAATTAACAGCTTTCAGCAACAGCATTTAAAAAAAGTCAAGTATAAGTTCATTGTGTAAGAACACGAATACACTGATGTCTGGAATAGCAGTTTGGCTGATCCCAATGTTTATTGCATTTATGCATTTCATCACACCACCTGAGAAAAAGCACAAATTCAGTCATTCTGATTTATGAGGCTGGATCCCAAATATACAAGGGCACCAAAACTGAAAGAATACAAATCAGTTACTATGTTTCCGCTGTGCTGACTATTCTTTATCTGTAGAAAAGTCTTTATGATGAAGACGGAGCCTGTAACAGCTCACGAATTTGACTAAACAAGTGGGAGGTGACGTTTACCTTCTTGCTTCCAGCTGTTAGCAGAAGTCTTTCTTCTGAGTTTATTACATACCTGCAGAATCAGAAAGCAGCAGGATCCTCTATTGAGTGGATACACATGTGAGAGAGCAGCCTCATTAATGACTGACAGCAATGCCACTAATGAGGATCTAACAGCAAATGGAGTTTTGCACTTTTCTTGACACGGATGGGCTGTCACACAGGTCAGCCCATCCACGTCACAGGTCAAAGCTATAAGTTTGAACATCCTAGGTGACTTCCTTCGTGAGTTATCACATTCACAAGATTTTCAATAAACTTGACCTCTGACTTGAGGTCAAGGTCACTGAACTTCAAACTCCAGAGTTTTAGTGGATGCACCTATGGTATCAATTTGAAAATTAATTATTCTTCACTTGGATTTTAGAGCTAAATAAAGATGCTGCATTCATGGTCTAATGGAAATGTCCAGGATTCCAATCCAGCTACAAACCTTTGCATTCACATTATGTATACTTCCAAAATTGAATTCAGTGGACAAATGAAGGTTGATATGACTTGTTCCTGCTTAATATCTACATACAGCCATTCTTTGCTTATATGACGTATCAGACTATAATGACTGGACTCATGAAATCTCCCTGTGCATAGCCAGACACAACCATGCACAGTAGACTTTTGATGCTGACATTTTAAAGGACAGCGTCTCTCAAGGCTGTTGCTAGGTGTCAGAGATGGGAGTGAGGCAGAGAGGACAGAAAGGCGCAGAGCTGGCTGCCGACCTGCAGATGTGCTGTTTACAGAGTTTTGGTTCTCACCTGCAGACGTCTGCTTAAACTTCTCACTCTTCTTCTTCCTCCACTTCCAGGGTTTGAACAGACGACCCAGGGTGGCGAATTTGCTCCGCCGCCGGATGGGGGGCGTGTGCGTACCCGGTACCAGCGAATCAGAGCGCATCGCTGCCAACCTCTCCACTTCCTCAGCTGAAAAGACAACATTAACAAGCAGATAAACAAAATGCATAAAAACATTGTTTTTGTGGTTTTGACTCACTTAATTTTGCGCTTTTTATTCCAACGCTTAGCACAACAACGTATTTGTTCGGATATTTGGCGTTATGACGACTGACAGTTGGCATCTGGGTGACTGATATAGTCTGAGTTCTTTTTTAGGAAGAGTGTAGCACAAATTTGAAAACCTGATGCCTTCTCTCAGATAAACATCGCCATAAAAGGAAGACCTTCGGGTAATGACCCAAAAATTGTTTTTTCAAGAAATCATTCTGGATAATGATCTGATTAATGACCATTTTATTAAAGCCTCAGCCAGGTGGGCACAAAGTAAATGAGCTATTATTCTATAGCTTATTAACTGATAATGGGACCCTTTTAACCCACAGTTAAGTAGAACAGATGATCGCTGCTCTCTGCTTAAAATGTCAGAGGACATTTTCTGCCAGGGGGGTTTTGCATAATCAAGTCAGGTGAAGCTTATTTGGATCGCTTTCAATCACAGCTAATGTGTCAGGTGGCCACAGCAGCAGAAACCTTATGTAAGAAGGAGGAGAGAAAAACTTGGACAGAGAGGAGTTAGCCAGCTACAACACAGA